CTGGTTTTCTTTTCTTTATTTCTTAATAAACTAGATTGGTACAAGTGATCAACTTATGCAAGATCTTCGGTCACAACTTCCCCATCTTCTTTATTCTCTCATTACCAGCCCTCTGCCTTAGCAACTTGTCCCTGAAGAATAACCTGCTGGTCCAGGTTACACTTTCTTCTGTAAGTTGTCTTAGTCACGGTGCTTTATCTTTGTAATGGAAAAGTAACAAATACAATTATCTTCCTCCCTCTCTTCCTAAGAATTGCCCTCCTCCTTTCCTAAATAAAGTCCTGACTCATTTCTGTTACTTTTTCTATTGCTGTAATAGAACACATGACCAAGGCTTTTAATAGATGGAAGAGTTTATTTGTGCATGTGGTTTCATGGGGTTAGAGTTCATGATGTCAGATCAAAGGATGTGGGCAAGTCAGCTGTAACAACCTGCTAAAATCTCACATCTTAAAACCCAAGCAGGAAGTCTCCACAGTAAACTCAAAATGGGATGATCTTCAAACTCTCAAAACTTGCCTCCAATGACACACCTTCTCCAACCAAGCCATACTTCCTTAACCGTCACCACCAACTGAGGGACAAGTACTCAGATGCCAAGATAACCATGGACATCTTAATCAAACCACCAAAGTTACAAATACATTTTGTTAAATGGACATATTATCAAACTTTCTCTCAAATCTTTATTTTTATATCCATAGGATAGTGTTGTTCTCAACCTTGATTAAAGAAATTGTTCTGTGTGGTAACTAGTTGTTATTGTAAATTCATGCTTGGTCAAGATGCTGAGAAAATTGAGCACTGAGAACTCAATATTAAACAAGATACCAACATTTCCCCTTGCTAAGTTCAGTTCACATCACTTAAAAGAAGACAAAAGAATATAAGGGTTTAACCATAGAAAAATGGACCATAGAGTAAGTAGTGTTTTGTGGACATGACATGGTTGTGGCACTAAAATTCACAGCAGCTGTGACTGTCTGCATAGTTCAAACACAATACTGGGACAGTAAGTATACATGCACAGGGACTCACGGGGGCTTATAGGTCTTCACTCTGACCATGGAAGCCAATGGCATTTGAGTGTTATGGGGAGGGAGGTGAGCAAGGGGAGACAAGATGTTATTGTACTCAGTGATACCATCACTGGTGAGTTATTCATGCACGGGTGGAGAGCTGTCCTGGTAGGTGATTTTTTTTTCTTTTGGTTTGGTTTGGGGTAGTTGTTATTTGTTTGTTTGGTTGGTTGGTAAGTTGATTTTTTTATTTGTCAACTTGACACAATCTAGAGCTAACCAAGGAGAAGGAATCACAGAAGAAAATGCTTCCATAGTCTGGCTTTTAGGCAGGTATGCGGGGCATTTTCTTAACTGCTGATTGATATGGGAAGATCCAGCCCACTGTGGAGGGTGATACCCTAGGGTCTGAGATATATACGAGAAAAGGCTGAACAAGCCAGTAGAATAAGACAATAAGCAACACTCTTCCATGGCTTCTGCTTCAGTTTCTGCCTCCAGGCTCCTGCCTCCAGCTCCTTCCCTAACTTGCCTCAGTTATGGGCTGTAACCTAAGAAGTATATGACGAAATGAACTCTTTCTTCCCCAAGTTACTTTTAGTTTTTATCATAGCAAACCAAAACTCTAGCAAAGGCCATCACTTCACATGTATTCTCACAAGCAACCCTGGTTAAACTGAGTGGATCACAAAGCAAAAATAAATACCTGAAAGTGGTATGGAGACTCGTTAGAATGGAAAGATGATGGCGGTGGTAGGACAAGAGAGATCAGAGAGAATTGTGGGACTAGAGAGTATTCATAAATGTATGAATTTGTCAAAGAATCAGTCAAAGAAAAAAAATGTAACAGCGTGAACAAGAAAATCTAACCTGTGCTAATGATTCCCAAAGCTTAGAAAATCTAAAACAAAAGGTTCAATTCTTTACATAATGATCATTGAGCTTTTAAACTTTTTTTCTGTTCTGCCTTACTTCCTCCTTTGGAAGTGTATGTTTGTCTAATGAACTGTTTCCTTGTCTGCTACTACCTATCTCTGATCAATTCCTTTTTCTGGGAGACAAGAACCCAGAATCTTCCTGATGTGTCTATTTCATTCAGTATTTACCAATATTACCAAGAACTTTTAAAGGCAGTGGTGGAATCTACTCAAAGAATCGTGAAAACCAGTCTGGGATGACTGGTCTTTACAAACGTAAGAGCTAAAAAACTCGGCCAAAAAACTCCTTTCACCGGTATAGTGACCCAGGCTCTAGGAATTTTCTAGGCTATATCATAAGTCTGCTCTATACCCAGACATCACATTCCAGCCATTTCTCTACCTATCTCTAGAACTTCCCTTGACCTAGCACCACTTTCCTTACTGAATTCTATTTCATTAGTGCTTGCTTCACTTCGCTTCCTATTCTGGTTTCACTGCTATGAGACCATATTCTATCTTTATATTCGCCAGATACAAGGCTGCAGGTCACAAACTTCCAGCATGTAAGGGAAACAGACTTCAATTTCCTAAGGGAAAACAATTTCATGCATGTATTAACATTTATCACAATGGCCATTTACATTTCTTTATGGTACTGTTTAATTTCTTCTCTAATTTCAAAATTATTGTGGATTGTGAAGTTTAAATCTATAAAAACTTAATATTTTGCTTAAATGTAAAACATTTGAAAATGTAAAATCACTAAATATCTACTATGTTTTACCTCTACAGGAAGGATACTTTTGTATCTAGTACATTTCCTTTTTAAGACAGGCATGGGGCCCTAGACCATCAAATATGATAGAGCATCAATCAATTTGGGAAAATGCTTGAATGCAACATCTCCCTTCCTCTGGGTATGTTAATTATTCCTGCAAAAGAAAACTATTTTCTATCAAATTGACTCCAATATATCCCATAGTAAAATGAACAAATACCATTTTTCTTAAAGGTTAGAAAATTCAAGACCTTGGAATTGGAGATATGGCTCGACAGTTAAGAGCACTGGCTGCTCTTCCAAAGGAACGGAGTTTGGTTCCCAACACCCACACCAGGCAGCTCACAACTGTATCTAACACACCTAAAGTCTCTGAGGGGATCTGCATGCATGTGCACATATCCACAGATACAAATAATTAAAAAGAAAATGAATCATTTTTTTAAAAAATCCTAAAGACAACAAAGAACAGTCTCATTTACAGCAGTCAACAATTTGTGATTTCCTTCAAATAGCCCACAGTCTTTAAATATTATTTAAAGGAATAGCTAAGAAATGGTACTAGCACCCTCTATAAGCTTGTTGACCTTCCTTTCCTTTTTCCCTAGGGGTTTGGAACAGTACCTAAGATAGTATTTGGCACTAGTGAGGTTTTCAAAAACATTTGTAAGATAAATTTGCCAGTATTAGTGCAGCAGAATATCAATAAAAAAAGTTGTGGGGGTTGTCTTGTTGTGTTTTTTAATCAAGTACACATGGAAGAAATTTTTTTAAGTGAATAACTGTATGAGGAAGTAGAGTGCCAGCACTTCAAGAACTCACCAAAACAGTTTATTGCTGCCATGGCAACAATCAGGTGACTCAACTCAGCTTGGTTCTTTTTCACTTGAACGACACAGAAAGGCAAACATTGTACTTGTTAACCTTCCATAAGAAGGGCTTAGCACAGACGTCTATCAGGTGACACTGATAGGTTTAATAACGTTTGGCAGCCTTTGGAAAGATACGGTGGTAATCATCTACTAGTTATGTTAAGTCCTAGCTTGTCAACTGATTCTAGAAAAGTCAATATAATCATTGAGAGGATAAGTGTCAAACACCTGCTGCTGAAATTATTAAGGAAAAGGAGAGCATTATCATACTCATATACAGTATCTCTCTTTACTTCATTCTTAAGTCGTTAATTTAAAAAATACTAGATGAGTTGGAAATATGGCTCAAAGCAAAGCTGTAGCCTACAGCAACAGGGTTTAAAATTTTCTCCTTCCCTGGCTTACACACTGCGGGGGGGGGGTATTTTCCTCCACATGGATCCGAGGGATTAGCCCTCACACCCAGTTTCTCAACATAAAGTCTCAGTGAGTCACTCAAAACTGGAGGGAGAATCTAGGATGACAAAACATGTGATGTGTGGCAATTTAAAGCAGCCTGACGCCTCCCAGGATTGTTTGCTTTCGCTGATACCTGTCTTAGATAGAGAAACTGCCACCTAACATGAAGTCTTTCGGGTCTTAATAACAGCAACCAGTGTTCAGTGAAATTGCAACTGAACTATAAACACAAAGCAGAAAATCTTCCAGTGAAAAGCAGAAAGGCAGCGAGAGGAGAATGGAGGTCTAATCCTAAAATCGCCCTGTACCCCTCCCTCCATTGAGAATAAAATTAATAACTTGACAATAAGTTATTCTTTAGTTTTCTGTATAGTCAGGGGATACATGGTGTGACTGTGCCATTTTACTTACTGAATAAAAACGATTTTTCAGCATAGAAGACCTCGGACCAGTTTTCGGTCTTTAACTGGGCAAAACTCTTGAGGCCTTATTTTTTAAATTTCTAGCATTCTTTCTTGTTCAATCAGAAACAGACAAACCTACTTCCCAAGAGAGCCTTAAAATAAAACCAGCGACGTAGTGCACATAAATGAGTACGTGTATCAAGTAGCAAACAACAAATGCACAACTATTGCCAAGGATAGCAAAGCTAGCACGGTGCCTCGGCTAGGCGCTCAGAGGAAGCAGCAGTGAGTGACCCCGTCAGACCACGGTGAGCCAAGAGGAGTGTGCTAGCTTTGGCTTCTCCGGAGAGAGGCTACAGGTGTCAGTCGCAATAGTCCTTGAAGGAAGTGCGCTAACCCCACTCCGCAAAGTCCTTCCCTACCAGTAACTGCAGTTCTCTTTTCCTTTTCGGAAAAGTCACCGCCAGTGGTTGAAGAGAAAAAGCAGCTCACAGATTGGGTATCCCGGTTGAACAGCGCCCACCTCCAGAGCTCGTCGGACCACGCACCTGGGAATGAGTTGGGCCTCGTCTCCGAGGCGCGCATGGAAGTCCCGCCACGCCGGGCCCGGGATCTCCGGCTCTGCCGCGTCCCAGGCTCCCTGGGCCTCTGCACTGTCCCGGCCGAACGCTCCGCGGAAGCCGCGCGCGAACTCCGGGAAGGTGATGGCACCATCGCGGTCGGTGTCGAGCCCCAGGAACACCGCCTCCGCTTCGGCCTCAGCCACGTGCAGCTCCGCGCACAGCGCGCCGAACTCCGCTCGCTCCAGGCGCCCGGAGCCCTTCGTGTCGTAGGCGGCAAAGACCGAGCGCAGCCGCGCCAGCTCCTCGGGGTCCGCGTACCCCTCCATGGCGCCGCTGGCCACCGCCAGGCTCTGAGCTCCAGGGCTGGGCCAGTGGAGCAGGTCAGGCCGGTTCTGCCACCTGCCCACCTGCCGCGGGCGGGGATGTCCGGATGAGGCGGGGCGCAGGCAGAGAAAGGCGCTTGCCTCCAGCTGCAACCGCCCGACTGGTGCCCTGAGCCACCGAGTGCCACTTGGCACCTCCCTGCCGGTCTGCTCCACCCCACGGTGGAGCAAAGACGCAGCTTAGCTCCCAGGCTTTCATCTGCAGCAGCTGGACGGTCCTTCTGTTCGACTTTGGGAGACAGCAGGAACTAAGGGCACTCTGTCCAGCTCATAAAGGCCTCTTACTTAAACTCTCATTTTCTGCACCCTAGATATGGATGGTACTTGATTGCATACGGAGTGCTAACTCACAAAGGGGGAAAAGGCAGGTAGGGATAAGATTTCAAACTAGCTAAACTTAATGGCACTGTATTCTCTTAATTCCAGAAACGTGTTAACTTTGCCTATATATAACTTTACTTTTTAAAAATCAAAGAAAAAATATCAGAAGACTTTTCTGATATTTTCTGTAAGTTGGCATTGTAACATTGATCTCCCTTATGCCTAAATTGAAACAAGTATTGTCACTCAGTGACTCCTCGGATTTAGAAAAAAAAAAAAAAACTAATACCAAAAATCACTTAGAGATAGCATCCTCCCCCCCCCCCCTAGGGTTTCTCTGTTAACAGTCCTGGGTGTTCTGAAACTCGTTTTGTAAACCAGGTGGCCTCGAACTCATAAAGATCTGTCTTTCGCTGTCTCCTGCGTGCTGGGATTAATGACATGTACCCCCACGTTCACCTTCTTTTTAATTTTTTATTGAAAAAAATATGTATTTTTGATAATGTTTTCCCCTGCCCCAACATCTCCCCTATTCTCCCTGTCTTACCTCCCTCCGCAGTCAACCTTATGTGCTCTCTGCTCTCGCTCTCTCTCTCTCTCTCTCTCTCTCTCTCTCTCTCTCTCTCTCTTTCTTGTGCTTTATGCATGCTCTCTCTCATTCTCTCAAAAAAAAAAAAAAAACAAAAAACAAAACAAAACAACCAAACAGAACATCCAAACAAAAAACTAAAATACAACAAACTAAAAGTGTCTGGAGCACGACAGGGGGCATGGAGTTTGTTTTGGGCTGGCTAAGTATTCTGGGCATGTGACCTGCCCTGGAGTGTGGTTGATACACCCAGTGACACTCCATTGGAGCAAACTGATTTTCCATCTGCCCCCAATTATATATGGTTTCTTGATTAGGGGTAGAAGATTGCATCCACCTCGCCTTTACAGTGCTGCGATTTTGTCTGGTGTGAACATGTACAGGCATTGTGTGTGCTGCCACAGCTTTTTAGCCTACTTGTCTATCAGTCGTATTGTTTCTCAAACACTACCCCTGGCTGTTACAATTTTTTTGCTGCCTCATGTGCATAGATCCTCAGAAACCTTGAAAAAAGAGATTTTTTGATGGCATCTCCTTTAGTACTGAGTGTTAGAGAGAATCACTCTCTGTCCATTTTTCAGTTGTGGGTCCCTGTGTTATCAACATCTACTGTAAGAAGAAGCTGCTCTGAGGATTGAGCAAAGCACTGATCTATGAGTACAGCAATATTTCATTGGGAATCACTGTATCGCTATGTCCTTTAGCGGAATAATAGTAGTGGGTTTTCCCCTAAGCCCATGATCTATCTAGTTGTAGGTTCTAGACAAGTATGATCAGAAATCTAATACATTACTGGGCTTTATAATTACTGCAATGGGCTTTATCATAATCACTGATTTTATGAACTTCCCAGTTTTTTTTCTAGTGTTTGTTTTTTCCATGTACTATAAAAACTGACATACTTGGTAATGCCTTTAAAGTTCTACACCTCTGCTGATTTAACTGAATCTTTGTAAGTCAGCCTCATGCAGTTAGACAGTAGTTGATATGTTTTCAAGACAAATGAGTTGTTTTTGCACTGCTTAACTTTAAGTGTTTTCTTAAAGACTGTTCAGACAATTTTATTCATGATTAGCTCCCAGTATTTCCTGTCTTCTTTGACCTGTTCTTTCCTCCCCCAGTCTTTTCATTAAAAAGCCATCAAGAAATTAATATATTACAAATCTCATGTAAATATCTCCTATCCACTACTCCAGACGAGTGAGATGTTTTTTTTTTTTTTTTTCCATTTCCTAGTAGCATAGCCAATGCAGAGTCACTGTAAACAGTAGCCATTTATTTGTGCGTTGATGCTTTGTTACCCTTTAGGGCAGGGTTCAGCAAGGTGGTTTTAGTGTTTGTTGTCTCTGGTAAGGTGGAGTGAGGTGTTGGGTGGTGGTTGTCCCATGCCTTTGGAGTACTGACACTGTTTCTTTCACATGGTGGCAGTATTCCAAGACAGCTACCTCCCTATTCACAAGTGCCTTTTAAATTTCAACATATATCGTAGTTGGTGCTGTTCCATAAACCAGAACAAGTCATGTAAGAAATGCCTAAGTCAATGTGAAACGGAACCACAGAAAATCATGGATATTGAGTCAGTGGCCCATTATTGGACAGCAACCCAAACCAAGGACACAGTGGCAACCACTAATATATACCTCCATCTTATCCAGCTGGCTTTTAAGTCATTACACTACTGCAGCTGAACAGGCATTTTTAAACACATATTATTGTTATTCACCAGCTAATAGTTCCCAATCACATAGCAGTGTTATGCTTCTTGGCACATTTGGCACTACCTGGAAACAGTTTGACCTTTGTCTTAATTTGGGAAGAGAATAATGGAAGAATTTGGGAATGTCTTATTTTGAGAAGAGAAGAATCTAGAGCCTAGGCTAGAGGATCTGAATACTCTGTAATGCTCAGATTAACCTGAGCCTATCATAAAATTATCTGATGAAAATATCAGTAGTAAAAAGGTTTAAAAGGTACCTAACTCAAAACTCATTCCATTGTGTTCTAATTAGAGAGAACCCAGGGAATACTTCAGATGTCTTTGCCAGTCCTCGGCAATCTAGTCCTATTGCGTAAGTCCAAATCTTTCTCCCTTTAGCCATATTTATCATGTAGCTAAATTATTATCCCTTCTTATGAGGATAAATATAAGCATAAATCTGGCTTCTCTCTCACACCTAATTACACCATTTATTAGTGGAATAGGATCCAGTTCCCAGTTTCATTGCATCTGTCTCTTACAAGTCCAAGGTTTATCATCCTCTGTTCTTATATAACAGGCTGCAGGAACCCTTGGAACATTAATAGCAGTGTTCTGTGTGGAGATCCAAGAAAGACAGAGAAATTCTATTATTATATTACAAACCAAACAGTGATTCAAGAATTGGAGATAACACAGGACCCTTTGACAACCAAGGTCACCACCGTGGTTTATAGAGACAGCCTTCTCCCTGGTTGTTGGAGAAATTTCCAAATCAGAGATAAACTTGGAGAAAGTTTCTTAAAGATTCCCTTGGGAAAGAAGAGGTTTGGAGTTGGATATTCTGAAAACACAAAGAAATTTGGAAAACGATTCAAATGAATCCTTCTTGGAATGAAATAAAACTAATAATATCTCCTAATTGTATTTGATTACCAAAACCTTTGGTGGGTTTGATTTGGTTTTTATTTTAATAAATTCCTACAGAAAAAAATCTTCAAAATGTATTTTGTGAAGCTTCATGTTAGTAAAAGAAAGGAGTCACAATAAATGATTCATTGTGGTACATTAGCCCACTTACCCATAACAGAAGTGAACATTACCCTGGAAACCTGCTTTTTACCTGGTAAGTGGGAAAAGCTTTTATAGAAATGCATTGTAATCTACAGTGTCAGGTTTCCATCAGGCACATTAACCTTCCTCACACAGTGACTTAATTCTGCATTTACTTTGCTCTACAAAGATCTGATATGCAAATTAAGGTGGAATTAAATATCCCACAAGTGCTACACCATGGTGGGACTGACTATTCAGTAAGTCCAGGAATGCTCAGAAATACTTGCATCACTTATGCATTTTACTTCTCAAAAATATATACTCATGACTTAACATTCTCAAAAAATGAAGTGGAAAATGTTGAGGACGTATAAATAAGAATACATACTTAAATATATATGTTTAAAAGCATGAAAAATAATTTGATACTAATATACCCCTATTGAGAATTATCAGATCTGAACATTATATGACATTTGCTTCTGGTCTACTTTTCTAATAAAACTATTCTATAGACCTTCCCATTTGATGGCATTGTGTTTCTGTAATTAACATATAACTTTGTGAGTGTGTTAGCAATTACAAAACTTTATCAACCTCGTAGTATTATAGAAACATAGGTAGTGAGGTGGTGAAATGGCTCAACAGGTAAAAACACTTGTTGTGCAAACCTGACAATTCACATTTGATCCCCAGATCCAACAGTGAAAGGAAAACCTCAGCTAAGTACTGAATGTTGTCCTCTGACCCCATACTGTGGCCTGTAGGTTTGTCTACCTCCACCAACACAATACACAATAATAATAAGTTGAATAAAAATTTTTGATGATGAGTATTTTTACAATGTTTCAAATAGAATTAAATAACATTTTGCATCTCAACCACATGACACTCATCGCTTGAACTGAAGGAGCGGTGATAGGTTCAAACTTCTGATGCCGTTTGTGACGATAAAGCAAAGTTAATGTAATTTTCCATGTTACCAGAGGTGTATCTTGGGTATATTGTCTTTCTCAGTTGAACCAGAAGATTGCATTTTACATTATGAACCATGGAAGAGAACAAAAGGGAGGAAACCAAGTACATGGATCTCATTTCACTTCTGTGATTCACTAGGTTATGGAAACTTCATTTTCCCGGTTGCCTTAGCAGAAAGGAGCTACTGTGTTAGAAGAAAGGCATACAGCTCAGACCAGTGAATGACACTGGGTAACAGAAGACCAAGACTGGTGGTCAAGAGTGTATTTTTGCTACCACAGCTGCAGCACATCAGGAAACTAAGAAGATCTGGATGCAGTAAGAGAATGAAGTGCGCACTGAGAATAATGAGGTTTTGAATATTCCTGGCCCTGGGTATTTTCATTTAATTTTTGAGGTAATTTTTTGCTGACTCACATAAAACACATACTGTTGGTATTGTTTATTATTTTGAATAGTATAGATTGACTGGGGGATTGACATCCTACTCAGAATTTTGTCACTCAGTGAGAAGGATGTTCCACTTTGTTCATTATTTCCCTTTAATAGTTCTCTGTAGATATGACTGATTTGGACCTATGTGCTTTCTTAAATGTATCTCTAATTATATCTAGTATTTAATACTAT